GTTTAGAGTTCATCCTGTCAAGGCCAGCAGAAGACGTTTAATTTGAGCATGTCAGTTAGTTTAGCTATACCATTTGCTTCAGATGTTATACTGGATATATGTGGGTGGTCTAGGTAGGAACATTCTGGAAAGTCAGTGGAGCGCTCAGAAGTGAATACCCTGGAAAAAACAGTGTTGAGTACATGTGCTACGATGTTGTCGGGTATAGGCTCGTTATGATCATTGGCTAATGCTGATGCTTTATGTAGCCTTGGGTTAATAGTATATTTCCTAAAATGTTTCGGGTTACTATGGCGTAGCAGGGAAGACAGTGTTTCTGAATAAAAAAAACGTCTAGCGCTTGTGGACAATGAGTAAAACCCTTGTTTTGTTGCATGGTATTTCTCCCAAGCAGATGCAATATAAGCATTTGGCTGAGCGAAATAACCTCGTCTTTTTGTTGTTTAGACATTTTAGTATGCTGTTTAACCATGGGGATGAAAGCCATTTTATTAGAATTATGGTTAGGATAAATGTTTCCACCAGTTCTATTATTTTGTTCTTAAAAAGCTTCCAATTTATTTTTGCGGTGAAATCAGTGCGGTCTTGATGCTCTCATAATCGTCTTTATCATATGGCCTTATTTTCTTTTTAACTTTTTTTGCTCATGGGTACATGACACGCGAGTTCAGCAAATAGTACCAGTGATCCCACTCCTGCGCCAAAGTGTGGAAAATCAAATTTACTGCGCCATCCTGATATTATCAACGAAACTCACACCAAACTGCGCCAAAGTCAGACTTGGAAGCATCTATCACCGGTGATATTCACCCCAGCGTGTCAAAACATGTGTACCTTTTTCTTGGGGCCACCAAAGTCGCAATCACGTACCTAAAGTTATTTTCCTCAATAAACAGCGGTCGCGTGTGCATCCTAAATAATCCACGATGCTATGTTTGGTGCTGATGCAACTTTTCTTGTGCAAATCTGCTTAACCGCTCAACGCACTCTATGCAGTGGCTCATGACATGTAGTCAAATTGGTAGCGTGAAATTGTGGCGGGGATTCATCCGCAGACGTCGTCCGTTCCAGGAACGCTGCTGATAGCTCGTTTGAAGGGTTGTGTGGCACCTTCACGCATGCCACCAGAATATGTATCACGTCTACTTCTGGACATCGCGATCTATTGTTCTGTGTTTCACATCCACAGAAGAACACGTGAACGATAGGAACGTGTTGACACTTTACATCTAATATACTTTATTTCTGGATATTCATTCAAAAAATTTTTTTCGTAATGCCTTCCTACAGCACATCCGCATTTGTATTCGTTGTTGCTGTAAAAGCTCCCTAAGACCCTGTCCTTTCGATATTGGTAGAGTTCGAATACAAAATTTCTGCGTGCTTTTTTTTTTTAATGTTATCTCATTAAAGAAAGGATACGTCCAGGTTGGAGCAGCCACAATTTGGTTTTAATACGTGCAGCTTTCAGTAATGGGGCCATCGCTGGCGGCTCTGGTTTCAGAAGGCCCACGGTGAAGCTGCTACGCAATGTTACACGTACGCCCCTCGGTTTTCAGGTTCAGTTGCATACAGTTAACAACAAAAAATATTGAACATCATGGCATCGCATTCATTACCTAATTTTTTTTTTTTTTTAAGAGTGGGAGTGCGGAAGGCTGCGTCACTCCAAAGACGCAGTCGTTGATGCGCTTACATTTCCAGGCGTAATGAGACTGCTCGTAAACTTTCTGCGCTGCTGACCCCTGCTTCGCGTTTCGGATAACCACTAGCACGAAAGCCACACCGGCAACTGGGGTGATCATTGTCCCTTTAGCCTGCTTTCTTTTTACTTACGCGATATCAAGTCCAAAATATACTATTTGTTACTATCCCTTAAGCTCTTAGCAATAAGTGCAACACCAAAAAATTGTTTTTTTTATATCTAATAATAAGGCTTGCCGTCATCTGCGATGTGCACTAGCGACGGAATTGCCATTTCATAGGTCCGCGCACTCGCCACACACTCAGAAAACTTTCTGGATGCACGGAGTCAGATATCCGTATAGCGACTTTGATGACTAGAGACCCCCGGAACACCTCTCACCAATGCACGTACAGATAAAATCAGACTTGTCTATAGCGCCCAGCCAGCTGCTCCAGCTGACTTACTTTTTATTAGGGACGAAGCTCCTTACGCTGTGGGTCATATGTCCCCTGTCATCGTTGTCATCATAATAGCCAGTGCAAAGCTCCTTCCACCATGGGTTGTATGTCCCATGTCGTCGTCGTAGTAGCCAGTTTGCAGCCACCAGTAGCCGTCCGTTCGTTCCTCCGTGTGTACGTCCATCCTTGCATCCGTCCGCTTCACCCCACTCGTCATCATTCAGCTTATGGATATGCTGTGAACTTTTCGTTTTCAAATATATATAAAGAGAAATGCCGTACTGATACCAAACATGGTCATACTGCGAGTTACATTCTTGTGCTATAATATAAGCATTAACGGAAGCCGTGAGATAGAAGCGGCGACCAAAAACACTTTTGACGGGCAAGCATTCCACTGCTCCAGATAAGTGTGATTTTGTGAACGGCGAATGGCGCATACGAATGGACCTCCAAAATGGCACACCTATCGTGTGGCCGCCTTGCGATCAAGGCTCAGGTCACACCCCAGGAAGCAAAGCTCCAGAAAGCGAAGCACTTTTGCCCCAGTCACTTCATGTTGAAAGTACAAGGTAGAATGGTATACCAACTGTCTTTTAATGCCTGCCGAAATAGTGAACGCGCCAGTGATCACACCCTTAAAGTCAAAGTTGAAATACCAAGCCTCCTCTTTGCAGCCCTATTTTCCTCCTGCTCCTTGAAAATGGGTGGCGCATTCCTCTGCTTGAGTAACCATGGATGGCAGGCCTGGCCATCCATGGTTACTCAAGCATGGGGTGATATTATTGCATCCGTCATCTGTGCAAAGGAGATACGTTGGCTCTTTTATCTCTGCTTTAGCCGCGTTCGTCACCCCCGCTCGCAAGCTTTTACCTGCGTGCAAAACATGATTCGCGAAAAGATGTTATTAATTTGGACAGTATTCAAAAAATGACAGCGATGGCCAATGGTGTAGAAAGAGGGGAGGATCGAGAACGTCCCCCCCCCCCGATTTTTTTTTTTTCGCCATGGCACATATAGCGCAAACTGACAATTTGCCTGCCTGCTCTCCTTCGAATCAAGCACCCCCTCCCCCTAAAGAAATGAAAAATGTTTCATCCTAAGCCCCTGGCAACTGCAAAATCCAGCTGAGATTGTCGAGATGATTGCTATCGCAATAAAAACAGAATGGCTCTGGCGTGCAAGTTGTCTTAAGTGAATGTATAAGGTGCCACTTGAGCTTTTTTGTGCCCTTCTTTCTAGAGGACACTATAGGGTGTTTTCGGTGTATAGACAGAGTGCCCTAGCCACACAACACACTGCTGCAAAAAGAAAATAAGTTTATTAAACCGTTCAGTTTCAGCACAGAGGGACGAGTGCTGGAGGGGGCTGGCTTTGTGAGACTAGCTAAATGATGTCATGTTACGCCTAGCAATATAATCAGGTGACAAGGAAAAGAACCTTTTTTATCCTTAAAGTCATCTTAGGGAAATTCTGTTGATACTGTGTGGGTCTCTAGCATTGTACTCACAGCATTTCTCTACCATATCTGCTGATATGTATATTTGAAATGTAAGTTCATGGAGTACAATTTTATTCACCTGGTATTTTGCTTATTTTTGGTGGAAATACCTAAATTCAACAAGTTTTTCCAGAATGCTTAACATCCTAATGCGCCTATTTTTACATCAACTGAAATAGGGAGTGCTTCTAAGATGATTGGCTCCATTAAATTTGCAATGAATCTAAATATTTCTAGCTCTTGACATGAGCTCCTAAATATTTATTTATGTCCTTGAATGTATATGCAACTTGGTTCTCCTCCAATGTGAAGCTAGCTACTCTAGATTTTTCCAGATGGGAAAATTTTGCTGCTACAAAGTGTTCCAACATAGAAAATTTGGATGCTCCAAAGTGCTCCAAAATGGAAAATTTTCTGCTCCAAAGTGCTCTAATATGGAAAATTTTTCTGCTTGGATGTGTTCTAACATAGAACATTTTGATGCTCTAAAGGGTTCTAAAATGGTAAATTTGCTACTCCAAAGTGTTTCTACATAGAAAATTTTGCTGCTCCAAAGTGCTCCAATATAGAAAATTTGCTGCTCCAAAATGCTCCAATACAGAAAATTTTGCTGCTCCAAAATGCTCCACATGGAAAATTTTGCTACTCCACAGTGCTCCAAAATGAAAGTACTGCTGCTTCAAAAATTGCTCCAAATCAGAAGACCTTTGTAGTATCACTGCATTTTACATTCTCACTAGATCACGCTTACTTGTCTACTGTAAGCCATTCAGAATAAAGCAGCTCGATTAATCTTTTCATCATACTCACGATTTAAAATTGTTTCATCTTTTAAAGGAGCGGTGAATGTGTCGCTTGCTGTGTGCAGGAAATTTTCTACATTATCTTTTTTGGGCATGCTGTATCACAGTAACACATAATTTGCCCGATCGCATATTTTACCACCATCTCGTGCTTCTCACACCAATCAAGCTCGCAATGTCAACCTTATCTTCGTCTGGATGAAAAATTACAAAACTTTGCTTTTACCTTAATGAAAAAAAATCAAGTGATTTCTCTTCCAGAAGTGCAAATAACTTGAATTTCTTTGTTTAATTCAGCTTTGCTAACATATTTAGAAGGCTGTAAATTTCAGTAACAATTATGCTTAATTCATTGTTTGCTTTTGTTGCAATGCTTGCCTTGTTACTGTCTTCTACGAATTACTCTACCATACCGCTGTATTAACCTGCACTTCTCCTTCACTCATAAAATTCTATTCTGTTTGACATTCACCCCCTACATAGTTCGCTCTTAGAGTACTTGAGTGAATAAATATAACCATTTATCTACATAGTGCTACGGACCTTTGCAGGAGAGTATGAAAGCAGCAGTATGGGAGAGCCGCACCTCAGAATTGGAGCGAACATGCAGTGTCCTCTGGGTGGCTGTGGGCACCACACTACGCCTCATGGCACCTGCAGCACCATTCCTCTGCGAAGAAATCCACCAGCGTCTGTCTGCAGTGTTTGGAGACAAAAACATTGCCAGTATTTGCACAGCTCCTTATCCCACCACTCAGCAGGTAAGCACGCTGATCCAAGCTTTTCTGTCGACATAATTTAATTTTTATTTATTTATTTATTTATTTGCATGTACTGTCAGTCCTTTGAGAAACGATAACAGGAAGGGCAGAAATATGGAAGAATAGTAAGTAAATAGATTACATGTTCATATATATATATATATTAGACTTATGTGTGCTATCAACAGCAAAAGTTTGCAGGATGCGACTGAAGAGTTTGACAGAAGTGCTGGCGTCCTTTCCGATGAGAAAAATTGTTCAGCTTTCTATAAATGGAAAAAGGCCCCAATGTCAACTGGAGCCTTTTCGACAAGTTCCAGCAGCACATGAAAAAGAACTTTCAAGTTCAGTGTTTGGATATTGAATGGTGTGGCCTTCACACAGTGCATAATGCCTACAAAACTGGAATGCATGCAACGGGCTGACCAGTTGACACATATTTGTCCAGCTTATTCTCACTTTTTCATGATGCACCGGCCAAGCGAGAAGATTTTGTTCAAGAGACAGGGAGCAGTGTGCTTCCACTTCCTTTTGTATCTCACTTTTGGATATAGAACACACCCGTACTGCAAAGAGCCTTGGCCACATGGGAGCACTTGAAGCAATACACTGAAGCAGTGAGTGGTCGTAGGCTGGACGTGCCAAAATGCAGAGCATATGAAAACTTCAATGCTTTCCTAAATAACCAGCTTGCACTTGCAAAACTTAACTTTTCCTTGAATGTTGCCATGGTTGTGCAGCCTTTCCTCACTGTTTTTCAGAGTGATTCTCCGAGGACGTTTTTGCTGGCAAAAGAACTTGAAAGTGTTCTGAGGAGCCTTCTGTCAAGGTTTGTATAGGGCTCTGTAATGACTGAAGCCACCAGCATCGCGAAGCTGCTGTGAATTGATGTTAAAGATGCTGCCGTTTACATAGAACCTGAAAAGCTGGATGTTGGGCGTGCAGCTGAGAAGATTTTGAAATGCTGCAAAGCGAGCACCAAGTGTATTCTCGAGTTTAGGTACGAGTGCCAGAAGTTCCTCATGAACATGATCCTGAAAGTCATGGAGAGAAATCCACTGGGATACTCTGTTGTTTGTGGGTTGTCATGTTTCGACCCCACAGAGATGTCCAAGACAGACACATGCCTTGCAAAGATAAAATTGTGCTTAACTGCCTAATCGACAACAAGCTTCTCTCTGAGCACAAACCCGACAAAAGATCATGAACGTCTTGACAGTTTTTTCGTGCAGCTACCGAAGCACGATGCTTCATTTTTCTAGTTATGGGCTGTGCTTAAACTACTTCTTCTGAGCCATGGGCAGGCCTCAGTGGAAAGAGGTGTCAGCATCAACAAGTAGGTTGCGGTCGAGAATTTGGCAGAGCTGTCGTACATTTTTGAAGGAGCTATTTGCGCAGCTGCGAAAAGCCATGGTGGCCTGCAGAATGTCCAATTTAAAAAGAGTTGAAGGTGTTAGTGCGCCAAGCCCGGCATAGGTATGCTGCATACCTAAACGAACTAAAGAAACAAGCACTGTCATAGCAGGCAGCTTCAAAAAGAAAAGAACTCGAGCAAGAGCTTGATGAGATGCATGAAAAGAAGTCAAAGCTTCGAAAAACTATCAAGTGCCTGCTGGAATCTGCAGACCGTTTTTTGGAAGAAGCTGAAGCGAAAAACTATCTTACTTACTTGGCAAACAGCTTTTGTCGAACTACTAAAAAAAAAGGAGCTGGAGATAGCTTCTGTGGAAAAAGAAACCCATGCAAAAACTGTGCTGCTTTCATAAGTCTTGTAAGCAAATAAAATTTTGCTAACACTCCTTGAATTTTGCTATTTTTCATTCTTGAAATTGTTGAAAACTCCTTGTATTTTCAGTCAAATGTTCTGTACGAACACTGCTATTCGTTTGAATATTCGAAGAATTTGAATATTTGTACAAGTCTAATGATTTCTAATCAATTTCGAATCACATTCAAATAGTGTATATCACATATAAAGAAATGCAGGCATATTTATTATGAACTAATTAACCTGCACAATATTTTTTAAGTTAAAATAAGGCCTCTATACAAATGCCCCCTTTTTTTTCATTTAGAGGAAGTCCAAAGAACTTTTAGTAGCTGCATGATTTGATTTTCAGCAAGATGCGAGTGATAGCCTGTAAAACATTTTAAAATTTATTATACTTAGAGCATATAAGCCATCATAACAAGCTTTTAAGCTTAAAAAATAATGAATTGATGTGAGAATAATATGTTAATTTAAAGGGGCCCTGCAGCATTTTTTTAAGTAGCCATGGAATGGATTCACTAAAGGAGCTTATTGCCTCACGAATTCACTGCTGCAAAAATTTAAGAATCCATCCAGTACGAGCAGAGTTGCTAAGATTTATCACGCGCTGCAATTGCATTAGCTCTGTTCATCCCAGCAAAAGTATTGGAAACTAAGCAGGGACGTATGGCATGGGGAAAGAAAATGTGTCACGTGCGCCTCGTGACCCTTGAGCACTTTCCTTTTCTTTTTTTTTTTTTCAACCTTAATGGCAAGCAATGAACAGAAAGCAGAGGTGTAAGGTCCACAAGTTTATTGGCCATTTACTGCTGATCAGACCTTTTAAAGAAATTGTGAAATACAAACTGCTTCTTTGATATGTGTGCCTTCAGCACAAAGCTCTTCATACCAGTTGAGAAGTATTGCGATTTACCATGCATGTGCTTTATTTCAAACATTTGTTTACTGGCTAAGCCTTTTTCCTTGAAGGTCTTAGGGGCTTATTTTTAATTTTTAGGTTGTGAGGAGGATTATATAAGCAGACAAATTTTTCAAATTGTAGTGGGAAAGCAGCAAAAATTTTCCAGTATGGAACTGCAAAAAGTATGAATTAACTGGATGGTGGAGTTTGAATTCAGAGGCTTTTAAATACATTGAATGAATAGAAGGCCAACCAAAAAATTGAATTTTGTTTGAATAAACAGAAAGTATAAATTATCAGTTTAAATTATTGCGAGTGGACTGTATTTAGGCGGACTTGGCATGTTAGCATTTTGTTTTTGGGGCACTCCTGATATGATGAAGGAATCATTGTGGTCCCTTTGAGTTCGTCTTAAAGGGAGTCTACTATACATCCAAAAATATTCAGACTATGAGTGTTGGTTCCAGATAATTATTAGGGAACAAGAAGTTTCAAACTAAAACAAATTGTTTCAGTGTCAACATAGTACAATATAAGCATGACGGCATAAAATGTATTTACCAAGCATATAGGGGTACAATTGGGGGAGACGCTCTAGGTGCCGACCAGTGCGGACGCACGAAGATCGGCTCCTGCTTTCAAGAATGCTTTCCTGTGGTACTCACGAATTTGTCGCCGAGTTTTCAGTCCCATCGTGTGCCTAAGTTCTCAAGAAATCAGCAGATACCACCTTTGTGCTGGTGAGTGGACTTTTAAACCGTTTTTGGGACATTTTTACACGGCAACGCCAGCGGGGGATTTAAGCCCAACCAAGGAGGCGATTGTCGCCGATGCGCCGACCCGGCGCCAACGCGACTCAACGCTCTGCGCGTTCTAGGATCTGCAACTGAGAATGGAATACCAAGTAGATGGAGAGGACATCTCTCCAGAGGATTGCACGGAAGACATGGGTTGGAAGGAAGCCGAAACGAGACGCTCAAGGAATAAGCAAGCCGCGGTTAGCGTTCCTGCTGCCAAGGGTTCGACCAAGGCTGGCGTTGCGGGAGACGCTCGAGCCAGTCATAGTAGGTATGACACCAAGCATACAATCATGCGAGCTGGACGCATGCCGCCACTACCTAAGGACTTCAGCAAAATTGTGCTACGACCACGTGGAGGATTAAATATCTCGAGAATTGGCACTGGAGCCGTGGCAGACGCGATAGTACTGGCGGCCGGGGTCAAAGAGGATGAGGCCATGCAGGACATCATCTGTTCCAACTTGCAGCAGAACATTATGGTGGCAAGCACTCCGGACCAAGACAGAGCTTCAAGATACCTCAAGGTCAAGCAAATTGACATTGGAGGCAAAGTTTTCGAGGTTATGGCGTACGCCACGGCACCCCACGATACTTGTAAAGGAGTGATTCGCGGGATCCCCGTAAGCGATACTCAGGACATTTTGACCCGAAAGATTGTGAACGCGAACAACCCGCTCGCGCTGCAGGCCAAGAGAATCAAGGACACCGGGACAATCATCATAGCGTTCGAAGGTCACAAGGTGCCCAGATTCGTGAGATATGGACCTTCACTTTTGCAGTGCTCCCTTTACCGCAAGAACATCGATATTTGTTACGTCTGTGGAAAGCTGGGACATTGGTCTGACGTCTGTCCGAACCCAGCTGAAACAATCTGCAGAGGCTGCGAGATCAAGAACCCAGATAGCCTGCACCAGTGCAATCCAAGATGCAGGCTGTGCGACGGTCACCATCCCACGGCAGACAAGGAGTGCAAGAACAGGTTCTTAGTGCCATACGTCGTCAGATGCAGACGTTGGGAAAGATCGCGAGCAGCCGCAGAAACCCGGGACGCATCAATCACATCGAGTCCAGACATCAACGACAAGCAGCTTGTTCCAGCCTACGGGACCCAGAGCATCCAGACTACACAAGAACAGGAAAGGCGGCCCCACTCCAGGGGGAGGTCGCGTTCCAGAAGAGGTTCTAGACCCAAAGCCCGCTCCCAATCACGGGGGCGCTCGAGTTCTCAAGGTCACCATCAGGGTCGGGATCAGCCTGGGCGGCACCCGAATGGCCAGCTGCCTGGCGTTCAGTTCGAGATCACGGCTTCACACCCGGGGAGGACGCCTGCAGTTACTTCGAAAGGCAGCTGGGCTGAGCGAGTGCGTAACGGCGGGGCAGAGGTGATGACAGGTAAGCTGCCAGAGCATGATAGAATTTCACAGCTAGAGCAAGAAAACGCGAGACTTACAAAATCGAATGAGAGGCTATCAGCTGAGTTAAAAGAAATAAAAATTCTTCTCACTAAGCTAACCAGCGCGCTATCTTC